CCCGGCGCCGCAGCCCGCTTACCGCATGAACGCGTTGGGATACTGGGTGCGCTGGAACAAGTTCTCCAGCTCGCGCAGCTGCAACAGGCTGAACATGACGCGCAGGGTCGTCGGCTGCCCCTGTGCCGGCGCCGGACCCGTGACGGGGGCCTGGAGCGGCAGTGCCCCCGGCCCCGGCTGCCCTGGCCCAGGCGGTGGAGATTCTGCGGCGCCGTCGCCGTCGCCGTCGCCGTCCGCTTCCTCCTCGACTTCAGCGGCCCTAGGGTCCTGCCCCGGTGCGACCTCGGCCCCCGCTTCCGCCGCCGCTCCGTCTCCGGTGTCTTCGGTGTCTTCGGTAAGCGACATCGCCGTAGGCCGGGTTTCTGCAGAGGAGGAGATCCAGACAGAAAGATCAGGGCATCGGTGCCCAGGCTGTGGGAAGGAGGGCGCGAGGGACAGCATCTGCGGGGTGTCGGGACCGCTCCCCTCGCCCAGGGAACGTTGGTTTCTGGGGCTTGCTGCAGGCGCCTGTCCCAACGGGCACCGACCCTGCGGCTCTTCGCGGTCGTCGTCGACTTCCAGGCTGAGGAAGCCGGGGTCATCGTCCTGGCCTGGGCCGGGAGGCTCCACATCCCTGGTGCCGTCTTCTGCAGACTCCCCGTCGGATCCTTCTGGATCCATGGGTGACGACGCCGAGAGCGGTGGCCTGCGGACGGGCTCCGGCAAAGCGGTCCTGGCGTTGTCGGGTTCCCGAGTGTCTGGGTAGGCGCCCCCTCTCTATATACCGCCCGCTGCTGGGGGTTGGGCTCGCGGACGTGCGCATGCGGTCCTGGCTTGGGCACCAACCAGGCGGGGGCACTTGCAAGGGGAGCTCGGGTAGGGCGCTCTTTGCCGAGGGCGTCGGAGCCGGCAATGCCTAGCTAGAGGGGATGAGTCTTCAAGTCGGGGCTGGGCTCGCACGCCCCGAACGGGTGGCCTGTCTCCCCCACAGGAAGGCGCTGTGCTGCATGGCGCAAGCCCGTGTGGGTAGGGTGAGACACAGACCTCACCCTAGCTCTGGAGGCCCTGCCCAAGTGTTGGGAGAATGTCTCTTGGGCCAGCCCTGCGAATCCCGCCGCCGGGGCTAGAGGGGAATAGTAATGCAAGGAAAGTGATGGGCTCCGAGGTGGCACCGTCTGAGGTTTTTCCGGGAGGCGGCTCAAGTCAGAGCCCGCCAGACCCCTGGGTCCCCGGGAACAGGAGCTTGGGCTGCGGTCTTCTGAGCGCGCCTCTTGCTCAGATGCGCTCTGCAAATAAAACCACGCTTGCCCCCTTGAGAGTGTCCTGAGCCTCCGGGATTTTATTGATTTTTTTTAAGATTTTCTGTATTTATTTAACTGACAGAGAGAGAGAGAGAGAGAGAGAGAGCGCGAGAGCGAGAGAGGGAACACAAGTGCGAGAGGGAGATGCAGGCTTCCCGCCGAGCGGGGAGCCCGATGCGGGGCTCGATCCCAGGACCCTGGGGTCATGACCTGAGCTGAAGGCAGACGCTTAACCGGCTGAGCCACCCAGGCGCCCCCTGGGCCTCCGGGATTTTAGTAATGAAGCCACATCTCAGTACAGGGCTACGAACCTGCACGGGGCGTTCGAGCGTTCCAGGTCGGCTTCCACTGGACAGAGCTCCTGCTCGTTTGGGTTTTTTCAGTTTCTCTTTTTCAAAGTTTTGTTCGTCTCATTGCAACCATGGATCTTGAAACACCTTTGGGCACAGCGTCTATGCCTCTGCCTCGAGATTCTCTATACAAGCATGCATGTCCCTTAGGGTGGGACCCTTTGGATCTGGGTCATCACCCACTTTCCTGCCGCTCTTTCTCCACCCCCCCCACCCTCCTCCCCTCGGTTTTCCTGGAAATGGCTTCCTGAGCCCTTGCTGAGGAATAAATAAATTTCATTTCTTTGTTGTTTTCTTTTTCGTTTCCTTTCTTATTTTTGTTTCTTGCAGCCGGGGATACATTCTTATTGGTTGGAGAGTGGAGTTTAAGCAGGTGTTTGGTTTCTCCAGGTGAATACAATAAAAGGACAAGGGCCAAGAGATTTGGGGTATAGCACGGAATCGATGAAACCGAGTGGCTATATAGTTTGTCCCAGTTCAATAAATGTAAGGTGGCGTGCATTCTTTTGTATGTAAATTTTACGTCCAAAGAAGAAAACCCTGAGCAAATACTGAACTCAACCTGATGGTACGCATGCTTCTTTCTTGTCAAATAAAAGAGAGCGGGCCGGATTGAGGGCTCTGCGGGTTTCCCTTCCAGAACTGTTTTACAGATGCTCCGACACTTGGTAATATCCTAAATATTGAAAATAGCTTCTAAGAACGGGTCCTGTGCTGGACAGTGTACCTGACTTAGCCCATGTTTACCGTGCTCATCCGCCCCGTTTGAAATCCGGAGCTACAGCATTTCCGTGGGCTCCTAAATGCAGCATGGGCCCTAGGCACCTCACCGACTGCGCCTGAGGGACAGAGGTGCCCCAGCCTCGTGCTCCCAGAGGACGGGTAAGACACTAAGAAAGGTCTGTGGACCAGTTCGTTTTCACAGAGGTGGTAAGGGATGACAATGGGACTACCTCCTCCTGACTTGAACCAAATGTTTCCTCCTCTGGTTGGCCCTTGGTGAGGGCAGCCGGCCCCCGCCCCACCGCCGTTGGCCAGATAGCCCAGGCACAGTTTTGACTTGGGGTTAGTTATTGCGTGAGAGCCCTACAAGGGTTCTCGTCAGCTGCGTGTTAGACCACCTACAGTCTCTGCGTGTTCTTTCCTGTCTCCGATCTCCGCGGAGCAGTCCTGCCTGCTCCGCCTCGGTCACTCACGTGACCCTTGACAGATCTCGCCCTCCCTGGGCACCAGTCGTGCCAGCATCCACTGAACATGTTTCCTTCCCTACCTTCACACCTTGCACGCCTTAGCGACCGAACGGAGCCTCGTCCCCGGCAAAAGTAGCCCCGAATCATGGTTCCATGTGCACGGAACGTGAGTCAGGGGTCCCAGCCCCACATTGGGTGGCACATGGTTCCATGTGCCCCATTCACGGGAGGGGGCTCTGGAGCCGGAGGGCTGCCATCTGCAGCCGGCTTGCTCACCCCTTGCGAGCTGGCTGGCCTGCTGAGTTGCTTCTTCTCACTTTACCCTGGTCTCCTCATCTGTAAGAGGGGGCTAGCAGTAGCCACTACCTCACCAGGGTGCTGCCGGAGTAACTGAGGTGAGAGAAATACACTATTCCCGCGGGCCCTACCGTGCGGTCTCACAGCTCCGCTTTCAGTCCGTTTTGTGTTTCTTTAGTCGCAGGGGCCCACGACGGGAGAGAGGCGGTGGTCACTCACTCACGGCTGGCCTGCGGACAGAAGGTTGTCTTGAGACTCTGAGCTCTCTAGCCCTACCTGTCCTTCGGGTCTTTTTCTCCCTCTTTTTTGGCTTTTTGTTTTCTTGTTTGTTTGTTTGCTTAAGTAATCTCTAGACCCAATGTGGGGCTGGGACCCCTGACTCCAAGATCAAGAGTCACACGCTCCACCATCTGAGCCAGCCAGGCGCTCCGCTACATGCCTCTTTGTACCGACACAGGCCTCAGTCAGTAAAGCTTTGTCGGCTGCTGTGTTGCCAGGGCCCTCTGCCAGGCGGTGCGGGGCAGGTGTCCGGTCCAGACTCAGCCACCCGCGTGCCCTGGTTCTCCCAGTGTGGGGAGAGAGCTCAGCCCACGTGAGAGCGAGAAGCTGGAAATGATGGAGTCCCAGCACCACAAACTGGCTCTGTGGCCCAGGTAAACCGGCTGATCTCTGCGCCTCCCAGGCCAGCTCTGCAGAACGGGGATCGTGATGCCCCCTGCTCTCCCGAGCTGTGGCTTCTACTCGAAGTGATGCAAGTAAGGCCCGGGGCGGGGGGCTCGGACAAGTGGAGCCCATGCTGGAGTTAAGGGGTCAGGACTGAGTGGGGTCAGGCTGGACATGGGCCCTCACCGTGATCGAAGGTGCCGGACAGGGTGCCTCGCCCCTGCTCCTGAGCAGATGGGAGAGCCTGTGGAGTGAACGGAGCTATGCTTGCTCGTGCTGGGGCCCTCCCGGGAGTGCTCACTGTGCACCAGGGCCTGGCTCATCCACCTTACCGCTGTCCCTTGTGCGGGACGGGGTGCTGTGGGGCCCCCCTGGGTGGGTGGGTAGGGGGCATCACTGTTTTTTGCTTTTTCCTTAACCAAGGCCATGGAGGCTTGGAGAGGTTCGGTGACTTTGACCAGGCGACACAGCTTGCTGGAGGGGGCCAGGATCCAAAGCTCTGAAGAGACTGTTCCTAGCAGCCCCTGGTCGAAGCAGATTTGGCTTCTGGGGAGTTGTGGGGTTTCCCTTCCTCCTCAGACGGAGTCAGAGGTGGGTACGGGCTAAGCAGGCTGTGCGTGGAACTTCAGTTAAAGGGGGTAGTGTGAGCAACCCCGGGAGGGAGGGAAGAAGTCTAAGGCTTGTCTCAGGGAACCCAGACGCAGCCAGGGGGCTCTGGAGTGTGAGCTGGAGAGGAGGCTAGAGAGGATTCTGCAGAGAACTCTGTATTGAGGGGCCAATAAGGTTTAAACGGTTGGTGGGGGCTGAGTTCAAGGAAGGCGTTGGAATGTGTATATTTCGGATGATGGAATCTGAAAGAGGTTTGGGCTGGGGGGAGCTGGCTCTTCATGAAAGCAGTGTTTTAGTATGAGTTTCTGGGTCGGGGGGGGTGTCTCAGCCGGCTCTTGCTTCCATTCATTGCAGTCAGTGGGTGTGGGGAGCAAGGTCCAGAGCCTGTGTCCTCACATAGAGGCCCCGGCTCTTCACCAGGTACGTCGTGAGTCCCCTCGAATTGGAACGCAAAATTCCGTGTGTGGTGGCATTGCAGTAATGTGGGCGCCTTTCATCAACTAGAGGGGGGACAGTGTCCCTAACCACCCCCTCCCAGCTTAAGAAATATCATAGAAAAGACCAGGGAATTGAGTAGAATGCGGGCTGTGGACTTGGCCACATGCATCTGGTTTCAGGGCACAGCCTGGTTCTTCTTCTTTCCTGCCCTCTGCTCATTGCATGCCAGGGGCAAGCCTGACTATCTCTACGCCTCTGTTTCCCCCCCCCCCCCCGGGAAATAGGGCAACGACCACTGTTCCTACCAACGCTCACTCAAATGACGATAGTCATCTCCCAGAATTCTTATGAAGTCAGAACGAAGTATGGAAAGCCGGTCTCCTTTTGTCTCTCCTTCCTTCTCTCCTTCCCTCTCCTCTCTTTCCTCCGTCATCTTCTCCTCTCTTCTACCTCCCTCCGTTCCTCCATTCTTTACTTTTATGCCCCTCTCCTCCATCCATTCTCCTCTTGTGGCTGTGAGAATTTATTTTTTTTTTAAGATTTTATTTATTTGACAGAGAGAGAGAGCACGCACGAAGGAGCACAAACACACAAGGGGAGCCGGAGCAGGAGAAGCAGGCTCCCTGCTGAGCAGAGAGCCTGATGGAGATGACTGATGACGACTGGGGCTTATCCCAGGAGGCTGGGATCATGATCTGAGCCTGAGGCAGACGCTTAACCGACTGAGCCACCCAGGCGCCTCATGGCTATCATAATTTAAAAGGAACCCAATGCTAGGGCACGTGGCTGGCTTAGTAGGCCGCGCATGTGACTTTTGATCTGGGGTTGTGAGTTTGAGCCCCCTGTTGGGTATAGAGGTTAGTTAAAAAAATTAAAAAAGAACTTTTAGAAAAATGAAATAAACTCAAGACAATATGTCTGTTTATTTCTACATCTTTATGTGTATGGCATTTCCAAAAAACTTA